AAAATCACGATAGAAAGTAATCCAAATCAAAGAAAAATGTATACACAGTATAAAGAAACACACACGTATACACAAATCGTCTTGAAGATAATTTTTTGGTCAAAATTAGTGGAGCTCAGAAAACAACGACCTTCCCTGAACTCGTCACGTGACATATGAAAAATGTTCAAATGTTAACGGACAATGCACGACGCCGGACAAAAACAGATAGCAATAGGTCACCTGAGGTGTTTTTAAAAAAATAAAACCGGTAGCTGGATCCAGACGCAAGGGGCTTAACATTTCATCTTAAGGTTCCATGAGGATTATAGCTTTGCATGCAGATGTCTTATATTGTTTATCAAAAAATAAATTTGGTTATGCCGAAGGAGCAATTAACAAATTAACCAACCGTATTTAACTTGTAAATGAAAATGAATTTTAAAGTGCAATTAAAAAATAAAGATCGTTAGAAGAAACAATGATGTAAGTTTAAATTCAAATCAAAATTTAAGGTCATTGTTGTAAAATTTGAAGAAATAGCAAATATGGTAAGTAATTTAAAAGCTTGTGCGGGGGTGCGTATAAATGCGGTGGAAAAACATCTGTTCAGTGGCGCAACGAAATTTGTCTCCTTTTGAATTATTAGTCCCCTACCGGTGAAACCGGAGGGGACTATAGGTTTCTTCTGAGTCTGTCCGTCCATCTGTCGGTCTAGCTGTCTGTCTGTCGGTCTGTCTGTCTGTCAGTCTGTCCCACTTGGTTTTCCGCATTTTTTTCCTAATTAACGCTTGCAGATATTGATATGATTTTTTGCATGTGAGTGTATCTTGATGCGTTACATATCAAGTTTACATTTCGTTCCGCTTCATTGCTTTTTTGACGGAATTACGACCTTTTGAATTTTTCAGGGTTTTCCGCAATTTTTTTTCTAAACGCTTACAGATATTGAGCTGATGTTTGGTATGTGACTTTACCTTGATGAGTTATAGACCAAGTTTGCATTTCGTTCCGCTTCTTTGATTTTTGACGGAATTATGGCATTTTCAATTTTTAACGGGAACCAGATTACACTTGCCGGTAGGGGACTAGTATTGCTAATGCAATACTCTCAGAATGCTTGTTTTACAGGTAAAATACTTTTGGATACCTTTTTCTGATTCAGATTGCTCATTTCATTTACAGGATTAAATTTTTTAATGTTAAATTTTTCTTAGCTTATGGTTCAGAATTACTCACTTTGAAAATTCTGTTTTCAAAAAATTGCTTCGAAAACCTATGTAACATATGTAGAATAACAACAATCAAATAAAAACTTGTAGCCTAATGGTTTATTTCCGATATTGTTTGTGAATTTTAAAGATGATATTTTGTGCTTATAGCTTGAAATAACTTTCCCCTAATTTTCTTATTCTCCTCTTTCTATCTCTCTCTTATTTATAGGAGAGAGAAAAAAGAGAAAGATTTTCTTTTCATGTTTATACTTGTAACTCATTGATAAACTTTTTGAAGTATTTATTGATCTGTGTATTTACATGAATTAAAATTAAGAATTTTAGTATTGCCTTTGATTATCATCTTAGCATATGAATGGTTCTGATGGAAAGTCAATTTTTGAAGTCTTTGTACACAAGCATAATAATTCTTGACTTTGGAAAAAACAATGAAAATAATGTTCAATATGTCCTCAAAATAAATACTTAGATAGTTCTTGTATGCTCAAACAGTTCAATGAAAAAGTAACACAGTGATCAAAAATCTATAAAATACATGGTATGAAACATGTCAGTCAAAATAAGAACATTATTAGATACTACTTATAACAACCATAGAATTGTCAAAATGCTTACATTAAACGAGCAATTTGGAATCCCTGTAACATCATTTTTTTCAGTAGCCTCTAACTGGATCACATATGATATGAAATATTACTAAATAAATAAGAAAAGTTGACGATGGAAAACTTGAAGTCAGCTTGATTGTCATACATTTAAGTTGCTAGTTGGCCATTATTGTCTATGGTCAATGAAACATCCAAATATAAAATAGATGTGGCAGATTCTTTGGTGATTTTTTTTTATTACATTTTCACTGGGATATATTAAGTCGAAATATACATAACGTAACTGTTGTTAATTGATAAACCGTTATCAATATTTTTAAATATATTCGAGTTGAAAACAAAAGTTTCATGCTTCTTTTCTAGTAAAAGTTTTAGAATAAATTCTGCTACATAAGACTATAACAACAGGCCGGCTAAAAAAAAAGAGCACATTTAGTTTCCATTAAAATTCCAGTATATTGCTAGACCAGTGTCGAAAGACTACATACATGTAGTATCTGTATCTGTATCTGTATAATATTAATCTAAGGGTACTTGTGTGTAAATTCAGAATTATTTTTAACAAAGTAACTTTATAAATGATATGAAACTTTCCGAATTCTATTTTTATTGAAGAAACAGTTGTCTATAGTATCAAAAAGCGTAATTTTGTTAATTTTTGAGCTTCAGTTTAACGGGTCTAAAATTAGGGAACACCGATCTTTCGAATAGTTACAGGAATTTACTAATATTATTCTTTCGAAGATTTGTGCCAGACGATGGCTTAAATATGAAGGAGAAGACCTTAACACTTTGTCAAAATAGATAAAAAGTATAAAGTGGATATTCAAATCTCGTATTAAGCGTTTGAGAGCAATATGAGAACCATCTATCCTTCTATATTCAGTAATTTAACATATGGCAAATTCTATGGTCGATACAATGACCTTGTTTGTCTATCGTATGATTATGATACAAATTGTAAGTCCATTATCTTTATACTGAATTGACAACGGATTTGTCCGCTTACCCGATCAGGTAACAAATAATTATTTTAAGAGTAATTGTTCCTGACTTAGGAACGTACATCCTTAACATTTTTCTTTTATTTATTCCAATTTAAAAAGTTGAACCTCCCAAATCCTAGTGGGCATGATTTGAGTAGACTTGATTCTGCACTACCTGGCGATCATTGCATATAAATATTATAAATCATGGATCTGCTCATCTTCAGAAAAAAGTCTGGCCTTTTTGAAAAATATATATATTCCCAAGTATTCAATTTTTATCCCCTTTTATGGTCCAACCTTACCCTCAGGGGATGTAATTTGAACATACATGTACTTAATCTAAACTCTCTTCGAAAGCTTTCACATTAGTTTAACTTTTTCAAGCTCAGTGGTTCTAGAGAAGAAAATTTTTAAAAGAAGGCACATTTTCACTATTTTTAATTATCTACGCTTAATGAAGCGTTCAGGTGTGACGTTAGCATGTTGAATAGTTTTTCTTTGTCAAGAATTTTTAGCTCTATTATAGGAATTCTATACATTTAAAGAACGGCCTTTAAGGACATTGGCAAGGCTCCTGGTTATTGTATAGATTTCTTTAAGAACTTTTGAGTAGGTATAAATGTACTAAACAGGCTATATTCTGGATCGTTTTACCTACCAATCCAACATTCTTTTTTAGATTTTAGTCAAATTATTGTTTTTACAGTTATCAATGCATTTCCTATGTAAAACGTTGATAAATAGAGACCTACATTATTTTTCACCATAATATTTCTTCAAAACCAATTTATTTCATACAGTTTTTGTATTATATACATTATTGTATCTTCGTCTCCTATGACTTCTAGATATTTTGGCTGAAAATGTATATATAGAAACAAGACATGGATATACTGACACCGATCATCATTTTGAGTTGCATCCCTTAACAGCTAAAATTGGTCAAGAGACTGGTTGATTGTTGACTGAATTCATTGAAACACATTGTCATAAAATTATTGGCATAGATTTATTTTTAACTTTTATTCGTAGTTATTAAATGCTGATTCCTTCACACGACCTAAGAATTGTTCTCAGTCGGCATGGTCGACCTACCTTTCAGCATATGTCACATAGATTTTGCTCTTCCCAGCATACTGAGCATAACTATGGTAAATGACAACCTTTTGGCTCTTTGTCCCTGAATACAATGTACAATGTACAAAAAAGCCATTACTACTTTTCTTTCTTGCTGTATAGACGATTCTACCCGTTAAAGGACGTACACGTGCTTTTGTTTACCTCTGTAACATACGCTTTATTGGTTTTCAGTGATTTCACCGCTTAGAGAATTCTACACGGGAGATCACTCTCAATCACTATTTCATTAGTGAAAAAACCCATGTATTAAACCTTTTTTCTCCGGAAAACATAACTCCCTTTTCCTTGTCACATGCACAGTTAGTGTGACCATTCCATAGGGGGTATTTCATTCCTGAAGGTTTTGATTTCACCTCTTGAATTCTTAGGAGTCCGTGTTTTATGCCCTATTCGCAGATTTGTACTGTTTTAAAGAATTTTGAAACAAATCACTTTTTTTTGTTCGAAATTTTAATTAGGTAAATTGCTAAAGTTTCATTTACAAACAGGATTATATTTAAAGTAAAACATAAATAAATTATGTAATGTTCCATTTTTCATCCTCTCGAAGTATTTAAATATATTTTAGCTGCTATAGTCTCTTCACTCCATTCATCCAATTTTGCCATAGATATGTGATAATTCTGTTTTAAAACTTGCAGTGTAGAAAAATCTTTCAAAAATACCTGAATAACTTAAAGGTCAATTTGTCAAATCGTAGACTGTGAAAAACTGTTTCACGCACACATTTCTTAAACCATATTGATTTCAAAACCTTTACGTATTTTATTCCTATTTGGTTCCATTGGGGTATCTTTATTTATGTAGCCAAAACTACACGGATACATTCGGTAAAATCATTTCTTTTTAAAATAAATAAATAAATAAATAAATAAATAAATAAATAGAAAAATAAAAAAATAAATAGATATATAAAAAGAACCCCATTTGCTTTTTGTTCTAAATATTCAGTAGAAGTAATATTACATTGTTTTTTAATACTGTGAGTTTACAAATTAAAACAAATGACTTCGTGTACAAAACACAATAAATTAATCAAATAGCATTTATATTAGAACTACGTATAGAGGAAAGAAACAAAAATAAAAAAAAATTTCTTTGAATTTTTTCCAGGTGCAAATAAAATATTTCTATTATAGTTACTATACACAGTTCACAATTAATTCGTATTCAGAACTTCACCGAGTATACAATGATGTAAATGTAATAGTTGTTCGTTTTTACTCAGTCAGTTGCAGTGGGAAGGTCGTGGGTTCTAGTCCTGGTCGCTTCAAAGATAATTCGATATGAGAAAGGTAGCAAATATTCCTTCGCCATGCGCGCTATTCACTATTGAAGTGAAAGTTTAGGTTCTTTCGGAAAAAAATCCATAAAAATCTCTGCCCCGTGTCATTCCACTTCACTGATCAATGGCCCCAAGTGCCTAGACCAGTTCAGTTCTAAATTTGAAGTCTCATGAGTGAAAGATTACCTCAAGAAAAATAAAACAACATATTGTATTATATAAGGAGAGGAACTAGTAAGTTATTTTAGAACTTGTTTCCCAATCATTTTGAGTTAATCAACAAAATATGTTCAAAACAAAACAAAAATAATAATAATCAATAAACTTCTCAGAGGTAGTGTCGTTTAAACTTAATTGCATGATTTTTGTATTGAATCCAAAGTATCAAATAAAATGTATTAGAGTTCTGGTCAAGCAACATATAACATGATCATTCATTAACCACTTCTTATAAAACGTTTGATGTCATCTGCTGCCTCATTGTTGATTGGGCTGTCGTAACACTGTTCGGAATCGCTATATAAAACATTAGTAAAATTGGTAACTCTTCTGTCTGTTTTTTCTGTTATAAGGTTTTCCGGCATGACGCCACGCTCACAGTTGTGCATTACAACAAACATCATGTTGGGCTGACCTAAAAAGGTAAAACTTTGTTTCTTTTAATAAAACAAAGATGATCCTAATTTTGATGATGCAGTGAAAAAAAATTGTCATAAATATAAATGGCATATTTATTAGAAGCTAAAAGATTGTGAAAGATGTATATATATATATATATATATATATATATATATATATATATATATATATATATATATATATATATATATATATATAAATCAAATTACTTTGATTACCTCGTATTTGAAAATCCTTCAGTGTGTCTGTGACATCATCCTGGAAGCGAGATGTTTTCGGACAAACAATAATCACCTTATTCTCAATTACTCGAAGATCTTTTATCTTGAGGTTGCAAGAACTCAGATACTTGTTTTTAAAGAAACGAAATGCATCTAGACAATGTTTTTGTGATTCAGATGTCGTCACTAAAGAATAAAGAAAAAAATACACAAATAAAAATTAATCAAACCCCAAGACCATAAACCGAGAACAGACTTAAGTCAAAATTTCAAACCAATATAACTTTTGAAATAATTTTGATAATGAAACAAAATTTTCATCATATATTTGAATTTAAATGTTATATAAAATTGCAAATTTTTAAACAAAAAAAATTAAATAAAACTCAAGATATTAAAAATCAAAATTTTGACTTAAGTCTATTCTCAGTTTATGGTCTTGGGGCCTGGTTATTTCTTTAAAATCCTATAGCTGTAATTGAATCTTGCTTTTTAACTGCACTAATGTCCGTCTTCATAATTGAATCATTAGTTTATCATGCATGTGTATGTCAGAAGCTTTAAATTATCATTTTGGAATTTTAAAATTAATCTGTCTTCAGGAATCAATCTACTCCTAGATCTCAAAAAGTTTTTTTTCTCCAAAATAGCAAAACCTTATCATGCTGATATTGAAGCATTCAGGGATTCAATTTTGCATAACTTATGTCAGCTTGGGAACTAATTAGAGTCACACTATGGGGTCAAAATTTTTCAAGAGAACAAAATCTTTTATGAAATTTTCGTTTGGAGAACAGCAGAGCCATGCCGTCGTTTTGGTATGTCAAATAGAACAATAAAAAGTTCAAAAATATATATTCTGCTAGATAAGTATTCATCACTTAATTTTATTTTTTTTTTCTCAAGTCACTTTGATTAAATTAGTTCATGTATAATCTACAAGACGTACCGTATATTGATTTAGTCAAAAGGCGACCATTTTCCTCACTATCTTCTGCTTGAAAAGATGATGAATGTATACATTAAATTAAATTCTAAGTAAAGAAGTGTTTGAAACATTATTTTGATTTGGTTTTAAATATCTGTTCTGAATTTATAATATATAAAACAAATGCTTAATTTTTAATTTAGAAAAGATGATATGTTACAACTGTTTTGTCACACTGTTGCGTCTTTAAAGTCGATGCATTGATTTCAACCTACTTGAATATATTTTGTTTGATTTTTAATGATATTAAAGCTGCTTATATATTATGAGATTTACATTAAAAGTGACTTTTGGTAAAATTTTGCATAAAAAAAAATCTTCATAAAAAATCTTTATTTTTGTTTTACACATTAGACAAAGTCATACAAAATATTTTTGAAAAAAAAAAAAAAAAAAAAAAAAAAACTACAGATGTAATTTTTATGTGTGTGTGTGTGTGTGTGTGTGTGTGAGGGTGTGTGAGAGAGAGAGAGAGAGAGAGAGAGAGAGAGAGAGAGAGAGAGAGAGAGAGAGAGGTGCATGCAGTTATAATAGATATACAGCCATATTTAAAAAATCATTAAAATAATTTGATTCCAACGGTTCCTGCAGGTGTCAAACATAATAATTATCCTTTTCACCATATTTATATGCAATATGTTTTTGTGTTTCATAAAATGTATTCAAAGCGATATCGTAACATCTACATTTAGTGTCCTCCCTGTGCACCTCATACCGGGTAGTATTATTTATTTAAGAAATAAACAAGAATGTTAAAGTTGTCAGTGTGTCAGCCCGAAGGGCTTCTCAGTAACTCTGATCACGTACCAACCAAGTTCATTTCCCAGAGAACTTTTTAACATTGTTGTTTATTACTTATATTTACATGTACATTTGAGACGAATATTCCGAATAGAGCTGCATTTATTACACGAACGGCGGCCCGCCGTATTGCTATGTTGTGACTCGCAATGACCTAGAAACTGTTTGGTCTTGAAAATTCGCCTCGCTCCAACATTTGAATATTTACATTGATGTTCAGCAGTCCAGTTCAGGAAATCTCTGTCCATAAGGAAAGAACAATGATCGATTCTAAGAATAATCTTATTACATATGACTTTCACATTTACAAAAGTTATTTCCCTTTGCAAGGTCAATCTTGGGTCAACCGGCGTAAGACACTGTTTTCCCTCTACATGGGAAGAAATTCTGTGGATTTTCTCCGGTGTTGCTTTAGATTGAATTCAATCAAAGCACAATTAACGCTAATCTTTATATTATCCATGAGAGTGATGCGAGACAAATGATGGCAGCACTGTTGAGGGAAGAATCCAACATTTTTTCAGATTTAAAATTAAAGCTTTAAAAGAATAATATAAGGCCTTTCACTGGAGGGGGGAGGGGCGGCGGCGGCGGCGGCGGCGGCGGCGGCGGCGTGATTTCAATTTCCTATGTGCTCAATAATAATAATAACGAGTTTAAAATGAAACATATAATTATAGAAAATAAACGAGTAAACGATAAACAAATTAAAATAAAAAGGAAATTAAAATACATGTTTGAGTTTGTAACCCTTATTTTTTATAGAAAGTATAAGCGTATCACAGGTTACTAATTTTACCCCTTTTCATTGCAAGTAGTGCCATATAAAAACACTGGGTTTTTTTCCCCATAAATATGTCTTCGGATGTATACGGGGTGGAATGGGCTGATTTTAGGGCATAGATGGGAAGGAGAGTGTCTGGGGGAAAAGAATGAAAATTTCAAATATTGAGAAATATTGCCTTTAAATGCGTAGTAGGAAGGTGTAAATAGGCCATGTTTACCTTCTTCTCAAGGGGTAAGTTAAATATGCAGTGTATGGGGTAACTCACGATGTCTTAGAGGGACTTGTACACTATAGATTCTCCTTAGATTTAAAAATATTTTAAGACTATAATAAAAAAGAAATCGCTAAATTTCAAGATATATTTAATTAATTCTAAATAAAATTAAAAAAAATTCCACATGCAAAAAGGTAGAAGAACGCGTGGTAGCAAAATAATATTGAGCATATTAAAAGAAATAAATGCTATAATTATCAATGACATCCGAGGAAAATATTTGTAAAGGTATTTTTTTTAGATCCACCTCTACAAGATTCTGCCATAAATTGTCTCGAATCACTCTTAGGGGAATATCGGTGATTAGCGTTAATAGCACTTGTATTGAGTTCAGCTCCAAGCTAAATCGGACGGGATTTCTTGGGATGATACTATTACCAACTATATGAGGCAATGTCTTACAAATGAAATATGTATGAATATGTTTGTTATGTTTTTTATGTTGCCCCATACTATGGCAATACAGGAAAGGATCAAAATTGTCCGATAGCGTTTAAAGGTTGAAAATATTTACAGGTAAGTTACAAAGATTATAGTGAGAAAAATAAGCGTTACGCCGACAACGGGAGATAACTCTTAAGAATGTGAAATTCGTCTATTTTATGAGTTTCAGTTTACATACCTTCAAAGAAATCTCAGGTTGAAAAGGTAAGTGCGATTTTAGTCTATAATTATATTATTCAAAACATTCTTCACACTGAAGGATCTAATGAACATCTGTTGAATGAAAAAACATCCATATGTTTTAATTAAGGTCTTCCGACTTCCTTCGGAAGACCTTATTGTTTTCCGTCTGTTTTCTATTATTATTATAATTAAGGTCTTCCGACTTCCTTCGGAAGACCTTATTGTTTTCCGTCTGTTTTCTATTATTATTAAGGTCTTCCGTCTCCAACGGAAGACCTTATTGTTTTCGTTCGGTTTCTTTTTCCCTATTATTATTCTTTTTTTTTCTTACCGATTTTGTGCACGCGAGTTCTCGGAAATGGCTCAATCGATTTTCACCAAACTTTCAGATCTGATAGATATTCATCTGAACCTTGTCGGAAATTTTCGTCGTCGATGTCGTCACTTCCGGTCGTGAGATATGGATGATTTTCTGATTTTCAGAGGGTCGGCTTGTCCTGGAAACTCCTCTGAAACGACTAAAGATATTGGGTCAAGATTTTCAGAGAAGGTTGAGGAAGGTTTGTAGATGTGCAGATGGGTGTCCAAATCTTTCTAGCGCAAAAGGCGCCGAAGCTCGGTAGGGCTCTAAAAAAATGTCTCAGAAACATTTCACAAAATTTGACACGTTTTGTTTCATATCTTCGTACCTTTTAATATTTTGTTAAAACATATAGAAGAAAAGTTGTGCGAAATGATAAGAGCTTTCATTTGAGATCAAGAAAAAGGGGCTGACGTCCAAAATTAGGGGCTTAGAGGGGCCAAAAGTCTTTCATCCATAACTCTTTAATTGTCAATATTTTGTTATCAATTACTGAAACAAAAATGTTTATCTTAACAATTTGCAACCATATATAATAAAATTAAGATCATATATTGCGTAATTAGGGGCCAAAAGGGGCCAAAATGCTAAATCTTTGACGCTTTATATCTCGACAAGGAGAAATATTTTGATAAGCAATATTGAACAAAAGATGTTCAGAATAATATTCTAAACTATATGCGAACTTTCAATTTTTTCAAAACGGCCCCATTAAGGACTTGAAGGGTTGGCCCCTAAATATTTCTATTCTACATATCTCGAAAACGAAAAGAAACTTCTGAAGAATTGTTGAACAAAAATGTTTAAAATCACAAGACCTTTCAATTGATATCAAGAAAAAGGGACTGACCCCTTAAATTAGGGGCTCAGAGGGGCCAAAAGTCTTTCATCCATAACTCTTTAACTATCAATATTTTGTTATCAATTACTGAAGCAAAAATGTTCATCTTCATGATTTGCTACTATATATTATAAAATTAAGATCATATATTCCTTAATAAGGGGCCAAAAGGGGCCAGAATGCTAAATTTTTAACACTTTATATCTCAACAAGGAGAAATATTTTGATATGCAATGCTGAACAAAAGATGTTCAGAAAAATGTTCTGAACTTTAAGCATTCTTTCAATTTTTACAATACCGCCCCATTAAGGACTTGAAGGGTTGGTCCCTAAATATATCTATTCTACATATCTCGAAAACGAGAAGAAACTTCTAAATAGTTGTTGAGCAAAAAATGTTCAAATTCACAAGTCTTTTCATTTGATATCAAGAAAAAGGGGCTGATCCTTCAAATTAGGGGCTCAGAGGGGCCAAAAGTCTTTCATCTTTAACTCTTTAACGATCAATAATTTCTAATACATTACTGAAGCAAAGATGCTTATCTTAACGATTTACAACAATATATGATAAGATTCTGATCATATGTTACGTAATACGGGGTCACAACGGGCCAGAATGCTTAATCTTTGACGCTTTATATCTCGAAAAGGGGGAATATTTTGATAAGCAATACTGAACAAAAGATGGTCAACATAATGTTCTAAACAATATGCACCATTTCAATTTTTGTCAAACGGCCCCATTAAGGACTTGTAGGGGTGGCCCCTAAATATTTCAAATCAGCATATCTCCACAACGAAAAGAAATCTCTAAATAGTTGTTGAACAAAAAGTCTTGAAAATCACATGACCTTTCATTTGATCATAAGAAAAAGGGGCTGACCCTTCAAATTAGGGGGTGAGAGGGGCCAAAAGTCTTTCATCTTTAACTCTTTAATGATCAATAATTTGCAATACATCACTGAATCAAATATGCTTATCTTAACGTTTTACAACAATATATGATAAGATTCTGATCATGTGCTACGTTAGAAGGGGCCAGAATGCTAAATTTTTGACGCTTTATATCTCAAAAAGGGGGAATATTTTGAAAAGCAATACTGAACAAAAGATGGTCAGAATAATGTTCTAAACAATATTCACCCTTACAATTATTGTCAATCGGCCCTATTCAGGATATTGAAGGGTGGATCCTAAATATTTCCATTCAGCATATCTCCACAACGAAAAGAAATCTCTGAATATTTCTTGAACAAAACGTTTTCAAAATCACAAGACCTTTCATTTGATATCAAGAAAAAGGGGCTGACCCTTCAAA